AGACTATATTCGGCTTTTGTAAGGCCGTACTTGGAATACTGTGTACATGTTTGTCCTCCATACCTGGTTCGTGACAGGATGGCAATTCAACAGATCTGGCGGTTTGAGACGAAAACGGTGCATGGGTGAAAAAACCTGACGTACCCTGAGAGGCTATTTAATCTGGACATGTTTTGCATGCATTATATGGGACTTCGGGGCGGCTTGGTCCTCATACATAAGCATACTAATGAGTCAGATCGGTCCTGATTTCACTGGACAGTTCCACCCAACTCGAATGTCCACCCTTCGTGGCCACCCATTAAAGTTGCACAAACTCCGATCTGACCGGGTTGGGGCAGTTTTTCGGCTATCGCGAAGGGTCATAGGTTATTGGAACGCGTTGCCCGCATAAGTTGTGATGGCACTGACGGGGAGAGTCTGAACGTCGACTTTACGCCGTCGGTCTGCAGTGTAAAATATTCCCCTTTATGCCCTAAGTGTTCACTCGTCTATAACGCCCCCTCTTCCCTAATTCATTTTCACAAACATCTCAGTAGTACTTATGTAATCTATTAAGCTTGTCTTTCCCTTTTCCTTTCGTTTCTGTTACTCACGTGACCGACACAGCGGGGACTATTAGTGCAGGGCACGCGGGGTGTTGTTTAGTTGACCATGCGAATCGTGTGTGTTGATCTGGCTCACCTTTGGCAGATCAATCCACCGGATTCCCTGTTGGATCAACGAACTTTTCGTAGGCGGAACATTCACGGGATTTTCCTACTGTTCCAGTCCCACTTGAACATGACTCCAACCTCATGACGAACAGCTCAAACGATGCAACTTTATTCGAGATTCCAGCGTGCGACATTCAATTAGGTTTGATTTCCCTGAGCGATTAAACCTTCATATAAGAGAGTCTAAAGGAAACATCGCTTTCATTTGTCGATCGCTCGGACTCCGTGAAATTTAACTTAAGCCATACATGGTATTTGTTCTGCTCACTTTAAAACCCTGTTCAGTTGTGTGGACAAATATATGGTAGGCCTCGAGAGCGTGTATATAAGATTCACAAAGCACCGAATAGAATAATCATCTACCACAATTTGTCGTGAAAGGTGTCAAGGACTTGAGCTTGATTCTTTATGGCCGCGGAGGCGGATAAGCAACCGTTGTCATCTACATCGGGTCACCCACCACATTGTGTACGTCGATGTCAATAATGTGCAGATGAAGGTAAATAAACGGTTGGAATCTAGAAGTAATACAATGAAGCGTCGTGCACCGAGATAGAGGACATATTCTTAACTAATAATGCATTCAAACATGTAGAACAGATTGTAAGAATACAGTAAACAGAGTAATGCAATGAGTACGTTTAGAAAAAGACAAACATATTTCACAATGGATTCCAAGATACCCATTTTGAACTCAGCGGCGTGAGTCAGTGTATCGTCTGAGGATGGTGTAAATAGCATGCAACGAGAAGAGAAAAATAACCCTATATCCAAAGTCGCTTTCTTTTCATAACCGGGCACGCCTGGTTGAGTGCGCCCATATCCACATAGTAGTTAAGGAGGAAAAACAAAGCGAGCGGTTATCATCAGTCCTTGGCTCTTGCTTTCCGTCTCGTTTACTCGACAATGTTTGCCTTGCGGCTCTCGTGTCCACATGGAATTTGAAGATAAAAAACCAACCGACTTTGCATCCCCACTCTTCCAAATCCTGTTACGTTCTAGTTTTACACGGCTTCGCCGTACGGCAGATGCATATGGCATTACTGGTTATTCGGTTATTCCATTTACAAACATAAGCATTATCTCACCAAGCGCTATGGTGGCTATCATTGCTCACATCGTAGCCAGCTAAAAACTTCGGACGGTACTGTGAATACCGATAGAACGACCGTCAGACATAAAAGTAAGTCAAGACTCCCGAACACCTGTACAATAATACGGAAAACACCAAAGGAATACTTAGCCTTACAAATATGAACACGCCGTAAAGTTCCTTGGTTGTGTAACACATATAGTAAACTGGACGTATATCCACTTGTCCCCTGCTGAAGTGTGTTCTGTCTAACCTCGCCATAGATGACATGCAAAAGCAAAGCGACTAGCCGTCAACTTTGGAACAATGCAACACTAGCATCGTATGCGCAATATTTTACTTCAGTGGACGTTCATTCATGTATCAGAGTAATCAACAGTTCATGATCCGTCTCTATGCAATAACCGCATCTCTGGCTATAAATGGATAAAACACAATTCCTATTGGGGCGCAAGACAGAAGAGGATCCAGTGTAACAAGTATCACAGACCCACATTCGCCAGTGTTCCTTGCCGGGTCGTATAACGAGTGTCAAAAATCACATGTTGCACATGAGTTCCTAGTGCCTGAAAGCACCGATCTAACGCCGACATTAATTTGTCAAGTAGTTAACAGATATGTGGGCGTTCTAAATGTGCGACTGCGAACATTCGAGTCAGAGAAAACATGGAACAAGTGAAACAATGCTCTGGTTATTATGTATGCTGGAACCGCGACATAGTCGGTGGGTTTTGTCTTCCACCCAGCTAACCAAACCAAGTCTAGTTCTGCATAAATAGCCAGTGTCCGTTCATTGGACACCGGTTGCCTTCGACGAGTAGATGATAATTTCACCTCGGGTCACTAAGTAAAATACCCAGGGGATTCTACTGTTGAGGCAATTAGGAGAAAGGTGATCACAAACCTGCTATTGATGTGCGTTCACACAATGTTCTGAATTGCGAAGCATCCGATTTCGATACGACGGAGTAGTCAAAATTCGAAATGCGTGTGAAAACAGACGACAGCGAAGACAGAGTTTCGAGCGCCTAAGAAACTGCTGCACGCTTCAGGAGGTGGATCGAAAGTGGATCACGAAAAACGTTTTTGCATCAGACCGTTTGACATGAAGTGTATTATGAACATGGACCATTCCGTTAAGATGTAGGTCTTGAGCAGAAGGAAGTGGTGCCGATATAACCCTACGCATGTGCAGTCATCGTAACGAAAATAGATAATGCGTTTCCTTACATATAAGAACATCAAAAATTTGCAGGACATGACGCTGCCGTCACCAGTCGCTTAGTGGCCTTGGAGTCGGTGGGTGTAAACCGACAAATTCTGATAGGACGAAATGATCATCAGGCGCTTTTCGGATGCGTTATATGCCATCTAACTTGGGAAGTTATTGCGAGGGATACCAAGTGATTACATCAAAAACCCTCTATTCAGGAATGACAAACATCTTGTATCTAATGTGCGTTCATAAGGTAGATGATTATGACCTGTTTGACTCCAGCCCGGTTTCCTCCCTTGAAGCAAACCCGTGTACTTTGCGGCAATGTGTGCGGACACAAACCGCCTACGACGCAATGTTCCGAAAGTTACAAAAATCGAATTTTAACCGTCTGACGGCTATAGTGTCACAGGTCGTGTTACTCGACATTAAAGGTGCCTTCGATTCGGTTGATCGATGTGCCGTTTGGAATTGTCTACTCAGGAAAGGTGTGCCGAGAAGTATCTTAATATTATCCAAGCATTATACGCGCGTAGCACGGGCAGAGTGAGGGCTTACGGCAGGCTGTCGCCACCCTTCAATATCTCCAGCGGTGTGAGACAAGGATGCTCGCTGTCACCTTTCCTCTTCAACTTCGCTATTGACGAAGTCATGGAGATTGCATTTACAAGTCATGACTTGGAAGGTGTGGAGCTACTCCCAGGAGAACGACTTTTTGACTTAGAGTATGTTGACGATGTTACCTTAATCTGTGACAGCTACAAGACGTGCCAAGCAGCACTGGACAGATTAGCACTGGCTGTCAGCCGCTTCGGGCTTTGCTTTGCACCATCGAAATGCAAAGCGTTCCTCCAAGATTCGCAGGGATTGCCCCCTGCGTTGACCCTTAATGGGAATCACCTAAGAGTCGTCCGGAAATGCAACCACCTGGGAAGTTGTATCAGCGCTCTTGGGATCGAAGACGAGATCACGAACCGAATAGCAAAAGCTCGAAGTGCTTTGGCAAACCTTCGCCACCTATGGCGGCGGCGCGACATTACTCTCGCCCTGAAGGATAGAGTGTACAATGCAGCGGTACGTTCAACCCTACTGTACGGCTGCGAAACCTGTCCCCTAAGATCGGCAGACGTAAAGAGGCTAGTTACGTTCGACCATCGGTGCATTCGCAGGCTGGCTCACATCTAGTGGGAACACTGCGTGACTAACGAGCGTGTTCGACACCTTGTTTACGGCACAGAAAAAGAACTGAACCGCTCAGCACCGTCATTTCACGCACCAGGCTCCGATGGCTGGACCTCGTGTTGCGCATGCCAGCCCACCGACTTCCTAGACGTGAGTTGTTTGCTCACCGGGGATGTGGATGGAAGAAGAGGAGAGGTGGCCAAGCGATGACTTGGTCAAGAGGAATGAAGGCTCTCACTTCGGAAATGGCCTCGGTTGGAGCGTCACGGCTTCCTGGTTGACGTCCAAAAGACGGTGAACACGTTTGGCTGGATACACTTGCTGATATGGCAAGGGGCCAACCTCAGTGGCGTTCCTGCTAGGAGTTTCTTTGTCCCTCCCCATCGCTTTTAGCCTCCCTCTCCACCTACGACCACATTTCATAGCGTAAAACGTAATCAGTTTTCTTTTTGCCTAGTTGCCGGCTGGTAGCTTACCGGAACGATGCCTATCCGTTGCTTGTTGCTCAGCTGGCATGCAACTGTTGTATTTATTTTACTTTTCCTTTATGTATTGCGGAACAATAGCTGAGGTGTTTTCCATGTCTAACTGACGTGTATAATGATGGTGATGATGATGATGTATAGTGTAACTGTGGCCAGATGGTTTGATCAGTTGCAAAATGGGATATGTGTTGACTGTGGGATAACCAACAACTTAAGACTGATGGTGATGAAAAGTTTGTCGGACAGCGTTTGAGTTTGATGACCAAATTTAAAAACAATATGATAGCCGGATGCAGGAAAATAACAAGTAAGACTCTAAACGCGTGTATGAATAACAATTAGTAGACAATGTTTGAATGAAGTATGGTACAACGATCGGATCAGGCGAGAAATACAGCGATCAACAAACGGATGTGTAGCCAGCCGGAGAACAAGGAGAAAATGAGGACGATCCCCGATCGCATATCGGGAGGTAGCCACGATAATGATATCACGTGAACAGTCGAGTTTCGCTTTAGGTGAGCGAACACGCATGATTGCGGTCGCAAGCGAGGTAAAAGGAAAACTGGTAAGCCCCATGGTGACTGTTGGCTAAAGAGCCAATAATGAGGACACAAGAAAGTTGTTTCATGAGTAGGGACACTGCCATCGAAGCCACAATTAGGTTGAAAGCAAAATGACAAAAATAAGGGGTCCCGGTGGCGAAAATGAGTCGTGACTGGGCTGCTTACATTTCACAGAAGTGGGAATCGAAAACTCATCAGTGACTGCTGCTAACGCGAAAGACGGGTGAGAAAAGCAACCACGGAAGCGGGAAACGGATCATACGAGATATTCATAAGCATCGCGTTCCGTGTTGTCCCGTTTTAGGTACTCGCGGTCAATCAGATCCGTTATGCAGCGCTGAATTGAAATGGAAAGGAGCACGAGAGATTATGATGAAAACAAGCAATCAGCACCTTCCCATCGCTTCAATTCTAAACATGGAATATGGGTGGGAAAATCGAACGAACAACACTATAACGAGCGTGGGTGGAATCCCGTCTTCTGGATCAGGCAATTATTCAATCCTGACATGCAAGAAGCACAAAGAAAAGAACAAGAAAAACAGATACAGGTTTCCCAGTAGGCTACAATCGGTTGCTGAGGAAAGCAGGGAGGGGAGTGGAGCAATTAGGATAGGTAAGAACTGAACATTCAAGAGAAAAACACCAACCTTGATGAGAGAAATTGCCGGTTTAAAGCGCGGAGTAAGCTGTGAGATAACTTCGTTTATTAGTTGCTGATGTTTCATCACTTTTCTGGTCTTCATGATCCGTACAATACAAGCCTTAAATTGAACGAGATGTGAAAAATAGAGATGATAAAACAGGCACAGATGGACAAAAATACCATGAATGGAGCTGAAAATTAATGGGCAATCTACATGACTTCTCAGTTTATGAGCAGGAGACACTGAAACATGTCTGATTTTTGCGTTTAAAAATCCAGGCACCCAGCGAGCACACCAAACGCAAACCCGAATTTCCAACCGCCTTAATAAGCGTAGCGGTAGAGCTTGGTGGCCCAATAACCAAAGCTTTAGCCATAAGACATTGAGTCATAGGTTCCAGTCAAAGCTACAGCTGCTTCTACTAGAGAAATCCAAACGAGGAAGAAGCCGGTCATAGAGTCAAATGTAGGAGGTCAGCAATGCCGACAGCTGCACTTCGGATTTATCATGGACCAAAGTAAACTGTGGTTCCAAATGAGATTGAACGTCCCGACCCAAACACACGGCGGATACTCCAAGGGCCGTGTGTGAACAACCACATCCCAGCCGTTGTCTTTAGAGAGCGATACGGTATGTCATTTGTGCAGGAGGTTAGAGCTAAGCAAAAACACAACGAAGAGGGGAAATGTGCAGGGACGAACTTGGATGGACCGCATTCCAGTGGAATCTGTCAAGCTTCTGGATGCACACCGCCCACTTTTCATAATGCACAAGTGAAAAGCGCTTTAATAAAGGAAACTCTTGCAACATAGTCAAGGCTGGCACAAGGATGCAGAAAGACCATGATGAAACACTACCATCCTCTTCATTAAGGATTGTCACAAGAGTAACAAGTAGGTGCCTGAGTGGATGTATAAAGAAGCAGAGTAAATCGCACGAAGCATACGACTAGCGGAATCCGTTTTCGGATCCGTTTGTCATTGCGACTGCGAACAGCTAAAAAAATGTCTGCGCCCATTGAGAGTGATCATGAATGCCCTGCGCTGCACCACGCGCAGCTTCATCAGCACATCTCAAATCCAGTGCATACCCAACGGAATAAGACCGGGAGACATGGGTCTGGCAATCAAGATTGATTCGGAGGCAAATGCAAACGAAACACACTAACAATACGCCGTACCGACAATTCGATGCCATGTGACGAACACCAGTTGCGTGCGCGCTACGGATCGTGAGGTCGCATGAAAGCATGTCGAACCAAAACAAGGCAGACGCCTCATCCCATTGACATAGACTTTCCGTCAAAGCAGTGCCTTAACTGGGAGGATACGAAGGATAAAAGCATATATATATATATATATATATATATATATATATGCATTCTTGATGCTTCTTTACCGCAGTTGGGCTAAACCAACTTACACTTAAACTAGGTCCCTTTAAGCTGCATAAATTTCATCCCAGTTCATTTGGTTAGTTTTGCCTACCTGAATAATCTTCTATTAGCTGGCCACGTTGCTTACGCTACTTGCACTTATCTTCCGTAATTTTGTTGCGTTTGTAGCATTTTTGAGTAACTTGTGGACATTCTTTTTCCTTATCGCGGACTCATTGCTAACCAACTTACTTCATATGCTAATTTAGCGAAGAGCTATGCCATTGCATCTGTATGCATTATCGGATTTATTTTATTTCATTTTGTCGTTTCAAGTGATTGGCTGTTGCTTGATATCCCCGGTGTGGCTGCGCTTGATGTGCATATTGGCAAGGTGCCTACCTGTCTATTACCCACTACCTCGTCCATACTGGCTCCAGAAGACAATTGGTCGTTGCTGGAGGGGACGGGGTGCACGGTCCTTGTGGCCGTGTTAGGCTCGAAGAGTGGTTCCATACACTCAGTGTGGAGTGGACTACCGTTCAGCCACCGCCTTGTGTGCGGTTGATTCCCCAAATACAGCATGCTTGTGCTTGCCTGTGAAGGAGTGTGGGCCGGCTCCGTTAATGAAACGTGGCTCCCATCCACATGCCTCTCGGTCTTATTCCCTCGGGTTTACAATGGATATGGGGAGCGTGGTTGGAGATGTAAGTGGTGCAGCGCAAGCCACCCATGGTCCCTCTGTAGGCGCAGGCGTCCTGTGGCTGGCCACAGTGACAGGCAAATCTGAAACCGGATGCCGCCAACCATATATATATATATATATATATATATATATATATATATATATGGCTCATGTCCTGGACGCCTCCTCGTGGCAACCGCTGGGTGGGAATTGGGTTACGCGCTTCTCCTTGCTAAGATCCAGGACAACAATCCGCATGACTCAGTGAACTGACCATATGATACACCCGCTGATTTTCGTGGGTACATTTAATCGAAGGCTTTGGCTGAGGACCCGAGTCGTTCTCCTGTCAGGTGTGGGCGACCTGCCAGTATCCTAGTCCATCCTCTTCGGAGGTTAGGAAGTGGTCGATCGCTTTCTGCTAGTAAAACCTAGCCATGGGAGACAACAGGTCTACGGGTTATAAGCTCACAGCTCGATTGGCGTAGAGCACGAGCGCCACGCATTGTCTCTGACAGTGGGAGAGCACCTCAGGGTGTTCAATGGTTTGCTACTGACCGCCTCAAGCCAGGCAGCCCCTGGTCAAATTGGTGCAAACCGGCCAAAACCCACCTGCGTCTGGCCGTGCTCGCAGGTACATATCTTAACACGGTCGGAAAACACAAATAAATTGTTCCAGAACTTCAAACGCTGCGTGTGACGGCCGTCAAGCAGATCCCAATCTGTCTCTGCAATCACACTCCCGAGCTGGATCTGCTCCCCAATACCTTGTGAATCAGACTATTGAGCTAAATGCTCTGGGTTGAGTCCCTCAAGCAAACCTCCAGATCACCCACTGCCTTGTGGGTCAAGCTATCGAGCCAAAGGATACGGGTGGAGTCCCACAAGCAAACCTCCGAAGCACGACGACCACTTTGCGTGCGATTGCGCACCAATGCAATCGTATGCTTGCGCCAAAGCACTCAGCATTGGGTGCTGGAAAGTGCGCACACTACTGGATCGGAACTCCAGCAAGCGCCCAGAGCGACGCACTGCACTGGTCGCGATGGAACTGGCGCGCTACCACATCGATATTGCGGCGCTCAGCGAGACACGGCTCGATGAGAAAGGTAAGTTGCATAAAGCTCGAGTTGGCTATACGTTCTACTGGGTGGGAAACGCCACCTCAGCACCACGTGAACATGGAGTTGAATTTGCACTATCCGATCGCCTCCATGGCCAGCTCGTGGGTGAAGCAACAGGCATCAGCGCGCGACTGATGGCTGCTCGCCTGTAACCCGGATGAGATAAGTTTGCCACTTTTGTAAGCACGTGCGGTCCGACCATGCCTTATCCCGATGACATGCCTGTTCAATTATACACTAAGCTATCCTCCGTCATATGGTCTGTACCGAGAAGCGACTAACTATTTCTGCTGGGTGATTTCAACGCGCGTGCTGGGCGTGATGCATTGGTGTTGACAGACGTCATCGGTCAGCACAGCATTGGTTCAGCAAATGCAAACGGTGACAGGCTGCACTCAGTGTGCGCCACTCACGTCCTGACGATCAACAACAGTCGGTTTGCACTGAGTGCAAGTGATATAGCAAACTGGACGCACCCACGGAGTGGTCACGATCACCTGCTCCACTATGTCATCGTACGTCAGCCTGATATGCGTGAAGTGCGCATGACACGTGTACTGCGTAAAGCTGAATGTGGCACTGATCATCAATTGGTGCGGACCAAACTGTACATATATTTTCATAAATCTATTCATTGCACTCCTGCCGTGAATCGGCGTAAATTTAACATTCTCTCCCTTGGTACTGTGGCGAAACGTATTGAACGGGAGAAGGCGATGATTGCAAGCCTGTGTGATGTGGAATGCATAACCACGTTGGGTGACCTGTGGCACAACATTCGCGACCAGGTGACAGCTGCTGCCGAGGAGACCATCGGGCGCACAAACTCTAAGCGGCCTGATTAGTTTGATGAGAACTATGCGACGATTGGCGCACTGGTGTCGAGGAGGAATGCAGCATTTGCTGCACATGTCGAAGACCCCAGTGACTTGGGGACGAAGTGTCAGTTTCGTAAACTTCGACAGCGACTGACCCGAGAGCTCCGTCGCAAGAAAAATGCATGGTGGACGGAGAAGGAGAAGCAGATGAAATGTTACGCCGAACGCCGCCAACACAAGGAATTATTTGACTCCTTGAAGGCGGTGTATGGACCGAGATTGCAGACGCTGAGAACGCTGATCGTTGATAGTTCAGACGCTACCTACACACAGACTGCAGACATAATGCAGGTCTGGCGGAAACACTTTGACTGTCTCTTGAACAACCGTTCAGAGATCGACTGGCCTACATTGAACTGCTTGAAGCAGCACCATGTGAAGGCGAGTCTAGCGGGCAGGCCGACACTAGATGAGACGCAGAGAGCACTTGCTCAGCTGCGAAACGGCAAGTGCGCCTGAGCCGACGGGATCCCACCTGAAGTATTGAAATACGGTGGACCCGCGTTGGTGACTGCGCTGCACCACTTGGTGTAACGTGTATGGAATGAGGAGGAGGTGCCTCCTGAGCTGAAGGATGCCTTTGTGCTACCGCTGTACAAGGGCAAAGGGAGCAAGCAAGGTAGCACGGATTATCGTGGCATCAACTTGCTGAGTTGTGTGGGCAAGGTGATTGTCCGAATCCTGCTCAACCGCCTCCTCAGTCAGGTTGTGGAACCGAAGATGGTGGAAGTGCAGTGTGGATTCCGTTCGGGTCGCAGCACTACACATATGGTGTTTGCGGCTCGTCAATTGCAGGAGAATTGCAGAAAACGACACCAGCCGTTGTACTCGCTGTTTGTTGATTTCTCCGAGGCATTTGATCCGGTGAACCGCGAGGTATTGTGGCTGGTGTTGGGTAAGTATGGCTGTCCGAGTAAGTTTAAGTTCAATTGAATGTCTGCACAGTGGTATGCGGGCGAGGATGAAGCTGAGTGAAGGGACCTCAGATGATTTTGCAGTTATCTCTGATGTGAAGCAAGACTGCGCCTCAGCTTCTGCTCTGTTTAATATTTACCCTCATGAAATGGTCCTGTATTTTAATAGCCTGTGAGCACGGCGTTCGTGTGGAACGCCGTATTGAAGGTGGATTGCTGAACATCCGTCGTTTCGGTGCGAAAACTCTAGTCTGTGAGACAACTATCCGTCTGTTGCTGTTTGCTGACGACTGTGCATTGTTTGCACACAGCACGGATGAGTCGCAGCACAAGACTAGTGCTCTAGCTTCGACAGCGGCCAAATTCGGGCTCACCATCAACACAAACAAAACTGTCTATTCAGTCTTCAACAGAGGTGCAATCTACAATGGTGCCGCGAATCAGCATTGGTGCCGATGTATTGGAAACCACCTCCCCCTTCTGATATCTTGAGAGTCTGATGTCGACTGGCCAGTAGCTACACAGTGAGCTGCGTATCCGGGTCTCGAAGGCAGCGGCGGCATTCGGGAAGCTAGAGTACCGAGCGTGGAACAACCATCAGCTTACCATTGGCATGAAGCTGATGATGTACAAAGCCATGGTGCAGTCCGTTCTTCCATACGGCAGTGAAACGTGGACGATGTACCGTCGGGATGTGCGATATCATAAGTGGCTCCATCAACAGTGCTTGCGACGGATTTTGGGCACCGGATGGGGCGATAGAGTTGCAGACACAGAAGTGTTGTGCCGAAGTGTACTGCATAGCTTTGTTAAGACACTTGAAGTGGCTCGGTTATGTATGCCGTATGGATTCGACGCGGATACCGAAGCAGCTATTATATGGTCAACTGAGTTTGGGCAAGCAGCGTGTGAGGAAACCGAAGCTTTGTTACCAGGACATGATCAAAGTGCGCCTTTCACGTTCTAATGTTGATTTCAGATCATGAGAATCGAAGGCGGTTGATCGGCGTGAATGGCGCGATCTAATCGCGAAGGCAGTTACCGATGAGCAAGAGAAAACCCTCGTGCATGCAAGGAATCGGCAGTTGCGGAAGCGACAGGCGCCGATGTATTGTACTCTATCGACATCGAGCGCATGGTGCTGTGACATATGTAGTCGCGAGTGCATGAATCAGGAAGGCCTAGTCAGCCACGAGTGAGGCCAATCAGGACCTGCATCAAACAGACGAGAGGTGCCGCCGAGAATGTAGGCAGAACCGGCGCAGCGTTGGCAGGTACGCTGCACTCGATGTACAAACCACGTGCTTGCATGCCGAGTTTCTTTATTTCAGGTGGTGGATTTCCTATCTTGTTTTAATGCTAATATTTTCACCGCATTTTAATGTCTACGACGAAGAGTCCTGCTGAGAACGCAAGCAGAACAGGTGCAGCGTTGGTAGGTACGCTACATTCGATTTACTAACGGCGTGCTTGCGCGCTTAGTTTCTTTAATTCAGATGATTGGTTTGCTATATTTTGTTAATGCTTACTTTGCTAAATCATTTTAGGTGTCTGTGTGAATACGCCTTATTACTTACACACGTCGCTTAAGCAGATTTTCGCGTTTGAAGCATTTTGAAAAATAGCTTTTTCTGAAATCTCGAACTTATCGCGGATTTGTTGCTAAGCAAGTTATTTCATATGCTCATTTAGCGAATTTAAGTCGGTTTATCGGTATGGTTTATCTGATAACTATTATTTGATATTGTCATTTTAAGTGATTGGCTGTTGTTTGACACCCCCGGTGTGGCTGCGCTTGATGTGCATATTGGCAAGGTGCCTACCTGTCTATTACCCACTACCTCGTTCATACTGGCTCCAGAAGACAATTGGTCGTTGCTGGAGGGGACGGGGTGCACGGTCCTTGTGGCCGTGTTAGGCTCGAAGAGCGGTTCCATGCACTCAGTGTGGAGCGGACTACGGTCCAGCCACAGCCTTGTGTGCGGTTGATTCCCCAAATACAGCATGCTTGTGTTTGCCTGTGAAGGAGTGTGGGCCGGCTCCGTTGATGAAACGTGGCTCCCATCCGCATGCCTCCCGGTCTTATTCCTTCGGGTTTACACTGGATATGGGGTGTGTGGAAGGAGCTGTGGGTGGTGCAGCGCAAGCCACCCATGGTCCCTCTGTAGGCGCAGGCGTCCTGTAACTGTCCTGTGGAGGTCACAGTAACAGGCAAATCCGGAACCGGATGCCGCCCACCATATATACAGTTGGTGGCATGAGCTTCCGGATTTGCTTATCACTGGGACTAAGAGCAGTCGCAGGACGCCTGTTTATTTCCAGACCAATGGCGATGTATGCATGTTCTGGCCTCATTATGCTCTTTGGAAGAAGCTATTCTTGATTGCCCTTCGTTTCAGGAGTAGCTTTCAGGTTCTCGATCCAACCAACTATCCTATTTTTCTAAGTGTTCTCCTTGTTAATGCACCACAACAGTCTATACCGTAGACAAAGCACCATCAAAAACATGGGGAGAAAACGCGCGGTAAGTTCAAAAATCATTAAAAGGAAACGGCCAAAAGAACGTTATTTCATACCCTGTTCCGTAATTTTTGCAAATTTAATGATTGAGTTGACACTTAATTAAAGCAATGTGTAAATTCAAAAAAATTTTCATTTAGCCCAATTCCGCACCATGTCCTCAAGAGTGCTCTTCAACTTTGGTTTCCTAGCCCGGAATATTTGCGCGACAGATAATAGCTAGACTGTGCGCTAAGGTGGAAAAATCTCAAACTCTCATGAATGTATTCACAATAAGAACGGTGGCGATCCCTCAGTGGGGCGCTACTCAGCTTCGTCTGCAAGGTCCATGTGATGCAGAAAACAGTGATCGGTATATCGAAATAAGATGAAGTACAACTTGAAAGATCGCTATAAATAGTGAGGCAGATCAATGGCATTGTTAACTACAACATACACTTCGTTGATGATTACCAATAGGGAAATTGTTGCTCAAGTGATCAAGCCACAAACAACAATCGACTGGATAGGCGATGAAAAGCAAGCATCCTTTGTAACGTTTGGGCGTACAGATCGAGTGGAGAGATTGTAGTATAGGAACAATATCAAATGAAGGATGAAATAAAAGTCGAGCAAATCTGTTGGCAGCTCATAATAATCTGCTCACCTGAACGAACAGCTTGCGATCTAAATCGACATTGCCCAAGGTTTGTTCAGTCTCCTGCTTCGCTTCGCCTTTAAGCGGAACATTCAGGTAGACACGAACGCGTTTGCTGAGGGAAGTAGGAAAATAGGAAATTAGACATCCCCCAAATATCTAGGAACATACGTAAAGACACAACAGGTCATTGAAATGGCCAAAATGTCGAAGGACGACGGTCCGCCATCGTCACCCATCATCTAGTGGTATAAGCTGCCAGCTAGTAGTGCACACCGTCGGTTCGGTTCCTGATAAAGCCACGGAGGTGCGCATAACGGACGAAGTGCAAAGGGAGAAACGGTCGTCAGGTGCTTTCATGGTCATGTGACTTGGAGGCTTCTACGATGGACTCTTATTAAAAATTACATCAAAAAGACTTTGAAACAGTTTCTGCACATTAGAACTAATATCGTGTGGCTCAAGGAGTTGCAAGCTCAGAAGACATTTGGATCAGAAATGAGGTTGTGTAAAAGTTGTTCCCTGAAAATCAATGATAATACGCAAGCTGAAGAGTACATGGGCAAATGATAGGGGTAAGGACAGCCTCAGCACAACCTTAACCTACTAGCAAAAAGGGTCACATAAAGGGAAATACTACCGGCAGAACAGGTCCAACGAAAAAAGCACGCTGTGGAGTGACCAATAAGTGAAACCAGTACCCCATAGATATCAACATATTCATCAACAGCAGTACATCAGCCATCTGAACTGATGCTCCCCTGCCGTACAACCATGAAAAAAACGAATAATCGATGGAAGCGAAAGTGGACTTACTGCAAAACCTTAATGACACAAAACAAAGATTCAGGATCAATGGGTACACCGTCACAAACAGCTGGCTATATTGCAAAGGCGACATTGGCGATACAGCTTCCTTGCGGCTTTCACTGCCTCACGACAATACCCCGCAGATAACTCAGCATTAAACACATTTCAAACAGGTACTCCGACTATTAGACGACAAGAGATACCCTACTGGTGCAGACTGCGAGTCAAGTCCTGTAATGTCTGGAGTCAAGCACAAGGCGGGTCACGTGGACTACAGTCTGGGAGGTGAGACATACCAACGGCACCGAGTTGGGTCGTCAGTGACTACATTACCCGCCGCCAAGCTAACTTCTGCCCACCTAGGGCCTTGCGCCACCCTATATCAGGCAAACAAAACAAGGTCCTCCTCTGTAGGTGGTGACGGGAAGTGGTGTTAGTGAAACCATACGTGAAGAGAGTGAACAGCCTATCCATAACTTGTCAAAACGCTTGGAACGTTGGGTTGAGCATTTTGAAAGGCAATGTAATCGGTCGGAATTGTTAGATTTCTCGTCGGCCACTGATCGCCCTGCTCAGTGGACTGTCCCACTGGATGCGCCCTCTTGCCCAGAAGTCGAAGGTGAGATTGGATTGCTGAAGTTAAATAAAGCCGCGGGACCAGATGATCTTCCTTCTCTTCAAATTCGGGGGATCTGCTCCTGTGGATAATTTACACGAGTAACTAGTGAAACTTTGGTATCAGGAAACTGTCCCTACCGACTGGAGTCGCTCCGTCATAGTCTCAATTTTCAAGGGACGCTCACGATCGGAATACAACAATCATATAGGAATCAGTCTGATCTCTATCGCCTCCAAATTGCTTGCCTTTGTCATCCTTTACAGACTGACTGGCACGCGTGAAAGTCATATTCGTGAAGAGCAAGCTGGGTTTTGGCGAGGTCATGGCTGCACTGACCACATCTTCACTTTGCGTCAGTTGTTGGAGCACCGTCACATATATTGGCGGCCCATCGTTGTCGTGTTTCTCGACATCAAAGGTGCATCCGATTCGATGAATAGACATGCACTTGGGGACTATCTACTCAGGAAATGTGTACCAGAGAAATATGTTAATATTATCCGAGCATTAGACGCGAGTAGCTCAGGCAGTGTGAGGGCTTACGGCAGCTGTCGTCGCTTTTCAATACGTACAGCGGTGTAAGACAAGGATGCCCGCTGTCACCTTCCCTCTTCAACTTAGCTATTGACGAAGTCATGGAAATCGCGTTCACAGGACACGACTTAGGTGTGGATCTGCTTCCAGGAGAACGACTTCTTGACTTGGAGTATGCTGACGATGTTACCTTAATCTGTGACAGCTCACAAACGTGCCAAGCTGCACTGGACAGATTAGTACTGGCTGTCCATCACTTCGGGCTTAGCTTCGCACCCTCGAAGTGCAAAGCGTTCCTCAAGATTGGCTTGGACCGCCTCTTACGCTGACCCATGGTGGGGATCAGCTAGAAGTCGTTCAAAAATCAACTACCTGGGAAGTTGTATCAGCGCCCTTGGGATCGAAGACGATGTCAGAAACAGTATGGCAAAAGCTCGAGGCGCTTTTGCTAACCTTCGCCACCTATGACGCCGGCGCGACATCATTCAATGTACAATACAGCGGAAGGTTCGACCCTACTGTACGATTGAGAAACCTGGCCCCTTGGATCAGCGGACATAAAGAGGCTAGTTACGTTTGCTCACTGGTGCCTTCAGAGTTTGATCCAAATCTGATGTGAACACCACTTGAGCAATGAGTGTGTTCGACGCCTGGTTTATAGCACAGGAAAGGAAAATGAACCGCTCAGCACCGTCATTTCACGCAACAGGCTCCGATGGCTGGGCCACGTGTTGCGCATGCCAACCCACCGACTCCCGCGACGTGTGTTGTTTACGCGCCGCGGGTGGGGATGGAAGAAGAGGAGGGGTGGCCAAGCGATAACTTAGTCGAGAGGAATGAAGGCCCTCACTTCGAAGCTGGCCTCGCTTGGAGCGTTTCGGCACCCTGGTTGGGGTCCGAAAGACGGTGAACACGTTTGGCTGGATGGACTTGCTGACATGGCTAGGAGCCGAACTCAATGGTGTTCGTGTCGCGAGTTTCTTTGTCCCACCCCATCCTTCTTAGTCTCCCTCTCCAACCACGATCCAACTACTACTTAGCCTTATATAATTTTACACTGTATATTTTTTTGCTGCATAGTAGCCGGCTGGTAGCTTACCGGAATGACGCTCACCAGTTACCGGTAGCTCAGTTGGCTCGCACTTGTTGCATTTTCCCCTTTCTTTTATGTGTTGCGGCACAGTAGCTGAGGTGTTTCCCACCTCTAGCAAACGTGTGTAATGACGACGATGACCTTGTACGTGCTCAAGGCAACGAAACTAATTCAGTGTTATCTGTTGTTTCAAGTCAGTGCCTAGCAATCGCCTACACACATCATGGTTGCGGACAAGCTGATGCCATCCGACACCAGCAACTTTTGCAGACAACGATGATCAGACTTGAAGGTACTGCAGATCCACAGATCGAAGAAGCCAAGCGTCACTCCTATAGAGTAGAATGATCCCCACTGTGATCTCAGAAACACCACCTTCCAAACCGAGGAAAACCCCTCAATGGCGTCACATACAAGAAGGAAGTTCCAGCTTTTGTAATACGTGAACTAACTTCATTTGCGAATTCAGCAGCCAAAATAAATAAATTCTACAGGTTATCAAGTGACTGCAAAAATACTTTGCGCTTTGAAGGTGGAAAGCGCACGCCAAATGATGGGGCTACTTCACAATGATTCTTCAAGATTGACTAGGCCGCCTAATAATCGATAAAAAATACAAGACAATAACGTCCGCAGAACCAACATCTACTAGCTTTACAACTGGCAGCACTTCAACGCGTGCATCTTGAGGTTCCGCAAGGAAACATTACATAATGGAGCCCCCGAGGAAGTTAATTAAACACTTTGAAATTGGACAAATCTGAAGAAAGTCACTTGTTGTCGGTAAAACATCCGACAAGTCATCGTAGACTCAGACGCGGCAGTGGTATTCGAGAAAAGGTACGCAAAATGTTCCCATATTTTATGGGTACACTGCATGCAAGTATCTCGAACAGAATGGATCGACCGACTGAGTAGAAGACACTCTTGAAGTCGAGGAACACAGCTAGTATCGATCTGCGGTATGTGTGGCGTTGCCCTGGCACCTGCCGCAGACGGCTACTTGCCTGCTCTTTCCTGATACGGTATTTCCGTTCCGCGGAGAGACGACAACGAGAATTGATGACAGTAATTTTGTCAACACCTGCGTTAGGCTAATACCCCTGTGATTAGCACAGTCGGTGCGACTGCCCTCAATGTATAATGCCAGTATACTCGATACACTCCAGTTAGCCGGGATGATCCCTTCCTGCCAAACCTGTTCGAACAGGGCGGTAAGCGTTTTGCAGAGGACCTCATCTCCATCCTTAAATCGGGCGGGTGCGAGGGAAGGCAGACCAGCAGCACGAAAGCGATTAAAGGCTGCGATCGCGTATCGGACCTCAGCCTCCGAAAGAGCCTTTAAACTAACTGTCCATGACTCAGCCTGCATGACCTGAGTATGAAGAAGTGCAGGAGCAGGAGGTCAACTGAACTGATCTCGAAAGTGCTCCGCCAAACGAGTCATACGGCGCTCCATATTGTAAATAATGATTCTTACATTGTCTCTGATTGTTTCACTAACGTCTGGTTTTATGGAGCAATGGTGTGAGGATCAGTTGGAAAAGTATGGGATAATTACCTACTGCTCCTGCTTCCTCCATTTCTTGAGCCTGACTGGTCCACCAGGTTTCATTGGCAGCACGCAGGCTCCGCTTTAATTTACGCCCAATTGTTCGTCTGGTTACATTGTGCACAGAGCAAGTAGGAAGTGTTCTTCTGGATTCCAACAGGTTCACCGGCCTCTCGGATACCGAGGAACTGGTGCGGTGACGATTGATAGTGTCGCAAGCGGAGTCGTCCGCATCGTGAATGGTGGCCGAAATGCTATTCCATGGAAACACATTGTCATTAGCACGGAGGAGCGAAATTCGGTACACAGAGCATTCTGGTAGGTTTGCTTGACCGAGACGTTTATATATATATATATATATATATATATATATATATATATATATATATATATATATATATATATATATAGATTACAGGAAATGTGCCATCAGAACCATGGTGAAAGGGGGGAAGGAAGACATCAGAAGAAAACGAGCTTTTGTTTTACATAATCCGTTTTGAGTATATCTTGTTTTGGAGTTTTTATGTCCGAGTAGACATTAACAAACA